GACATGGCATGCTGCTGGCTTTGGCTGGGCTGCTGCCTCTGCGCCGTATTGGCATGGCATGCTGCTGGCTTGCTGTGCCTTGGCCTTGGCATGGCATGCTGCTGGCTTTGGCTGGCCTGCCTTGGCCGTTGCATGCATGCTGCTGGCCTAGGGCCATGGCTGCATGCTGCTGGCTTTGGCTGGGCTGCCCTGGCCGTGGCATGCATGCTGCTGCCCTTGGCCTGATATGGCATGCTGCTGGCTTTGGCTGGGCTGCCTTGGCCGTGGCATGGCATGCTGCTGGCCTGCCTTGGCATGGCATGCTGCTGGCTTTGGCTGGCCTGCGTTGGCCGTGGCATGGCATGCTGCTGGCCTAGGCGCATTGGCATGCTGCTGGGGCCTTGGCCGGGACATGCTCTGCTGGCTAGGCCTTTGAGGATGCTGCTGGCTTTGGCTGGGCTGCCTTGGCCGTTGGCATGGCATGCTGCGTGGCCTAGGCCTTTGCATGGCATGCTGCTGGCTTTGGCTTGGCCTGCCTTGGGCCGTGGCATGGCATGCTGCTTGGCCTAGCCTTGGCATGGCATGCTGCTGGCTTTGGTTGGGCTGCCTTGGCCGTGGCATGCATGCTGCTGGCCTTGGCCTTGGCATGGCATGCTGCTGCTTTGGCTGGCCTGCCTTGGCCGTGGCATGGCATGCTGCTGGGCCTAGGCCTTGGCATGGCATGCTGCTGGCTTTGGCTGGGCTGCCTGGCCGTGGCATGGCATGCTGCTGGGCCTTGGCCTTGCATGGCCATGCTGTTGGCTTTGGCTTGCCTTGCCTTGGCCGTTGGCATGGCATGCTGCTGGCCTAGGCCTTGGCATGGCATGCTGCTGGCTTTGCTGGGCTGCCTTGGCCGTGGCATGGCATGCTGCTTGGCTTGCCTTGGCAGGCATGCTGCTGGCTTTGGCTGGGCTGCCTTGGCCGTGGCATGGCATGCTGCTGGCCTTGGCCTTGGCATGGCATGCTGCTGGCTTTTGGCTGGGCTGCCTTTGGCCGTGGCATGGCATGCTGCTGGCCTTGAGGCCTTGCTGGCATGCCTTGCTGGGCTTTGGCTGGGCTGCCTTGGCCGTGATGGCATGCCTGCTGGCCTGGCTTGGCATGGTTATGCTGCTGCCTAGGCTTGGGCATGGCATGCTGCTGGCTTGGCTGGCTGGCCTTGGCCGTGGCATGGCATGCTGCTGGCCTTGGCCTTGGCATGGCTGGCATGCTGCTGGCTTTGGCGGCCTGCCTGGCCGCTGGGCATGGCATGCTGCTTGGGCCTTGGCCTTGGCTTGGCATGCTTGCTGGCTTTGGCTGGGCTGCCTTGCGGACGTGCATGGTGCTGCTGGCCTAGGCTGTGTGTCCGGACTTAGACTTCGCAAAGCCTTCCGTGCGGCCTTAGATGTCTTCCAACCCTCGTGGTTGCACCTAAGTCAGCCTTACCCACTTCAACACACTATGACACACAAGATTTAGGTGGAAGAATGCAACTATCTAGGACATCTACCCTATCTACTACATTCTAGAATTCTCTTAGACTAGTGTAGTACATGGTAGGCTTCTCCTAGCATAATCTAGGATGTTCCAGACCCATCCAGACTCTGCTGGACACTCCAAGCTTCTTCCACATTCCAGAATCTTCTAGGCCACTCGGGACCCTTCCACCACGTTCTAGAGTCTTCCAGCATGCTCTAGCCCGTTCTCAAGCCTTCCGGAACCTTCCAGCATCCCTCAAATGCTGCTCCTTGTGTCACAGAATTCTCGGGGCGTGACACTCTCCCCCACCCAATGCCGTGACGCCCTCGTCACGCAGAAGCATACCGAGCCAGCACATCTCGATATGATCTGTGTCCGCTGCTGCTGCTGGAGCTTGCCTCTTCGCCCTTGCCATGCGGCCTACTCTGCTGCATCCTTGCAAGTCCTTCCTCCTTGCCATGCAACCCACTCTGCTGCATCCCTGCAAGAGACTTCTTCCTTTCCGGGCAGTCCTTCACCATGTGCGGTCCGTCGCACAGGAAACACTCGGGCAGCCCTTTTTTCTTCAAGCCCAGCCTCTCAGCCTTGTCAGTGCACTCAAACCTTAGAGTGGCACCCTTCTCCTTCTGCGCATGTGAAGCTCTCCCTTTAGCCTTCACCTCCGCGCGCTCCCCATCCTTCTTTTGGATGCTTCTCGGCTCTTCCAACTCCTCATTTTCCTTGGGTATTAATCCAAGTAGTTGGATGCTCCCCAGCTGTGCCATCTCCTCTGAAGGGTCTTCACTCTCGGAGTCCCGCGCCTCCTTCTTCCCCTTCCTCTCCATAGCATTCAGCTGTCTCTTCTTCTCAGCACGAAGCGCCTTCTTTGGGCAGTTCCTCACCATGTGCGGTCCGTTGCACAGGTAGCACTCAAGCTGCCCCTTGCCTTCACGCCTCTTCCCTGGAGATCCGGCACGTTGCCCATCCTTGTGTCGTTCCCGTCTCCTTGGGGGTTCGACATCACTGCGCTCATCCTCGGTGGTCTGAGGTGACTGCCTCCCACCTTTGGCATGGCTCTCTCGGGCACCCCTCGCACCATCATAGCTCTTGGGTTTCGTCGCACGAACCCTCCTCCTGGCTGGAGCCACATTCCCTCCATTGCCAGCCACGATGGCCTTCTTGCACAACTCCAACTCCAACTCGAAGCTAGCTACTCTTGCTTCCAGGGCCTTCTGCTGGGAGTCCACCTTCTCCTCCAGCTCTCCCACCCTAGCAACCAAACTAGCAAAATAGGAGAAAAAGTTAGTGATATGAGGTGTGGGCTTGCCAGGGCCAACTAGCACTTCCTCCAGCCTAGTGAGCCTTCCCACCACATCCTCCATCATCCCCTCGAGTCGTGCCACCGCCTCCGACGTTGCCATCGAGTCACTTGTTGAGAGTCTCCTCACCCTGGGGACGTTCCCTTCGTCGCCAGTCATAGCCATGTACACCTACCGCAGTTACTTTCTCACGTAACCGGCTCTGATACCAACTGTCACGGACTTAGACTTCGCAAGCCTACCGTGCGGCCTTAGATGTCTCCAACCCTCGTGGTTGCACCTAAGTCAGCCTTACCCACTCAACCACACTAAGACACACAAGATTTAGGTGGAAGAATGCCTTCACTATACAAGTTGAATTTACAAGTATAGCCGTGTACAAAGCTTTACAATGCTCTCACACTCACACTTACAAGTGCTCTCTTGGATCTCCACTCCTTAGTTTTTTTACAAATGAGACCCCTCACCCTTTTATAGCCATCCTCCTCTCCATTGGACGGCCCAGATCATTTTGATCCAAGGGCTACAAGCACTCATCTAGAACATTCCATAGAACTATCTAGGACATCTACCCTATCTACTACATTCTAGAATTCTCTACACTAGTGTAGTACATGGTAGGCTTCTCCTAGCATAATCTAGGATGTTCCAGACCCATCCAGGCTTCTCTGGACACTTCAAGGTTCTTCCACTTTCTGGAATCTTCCAGGCCACTCTAGACCCTTCTACCACGTTCTAGAGCCTTCCAGCATACTCTAGCCCGTTCTGGCTCCTTCCGGATCCTTCCAGCACATTTGGCCACTTCAAATGCTGCTCCTTGTGTCACAGAAATTATCGGGGCGTGACACTCTCCCCCACCCAATCCCGTGACGCCCTCGTCACGCAGAAGCATACCGAGCCACCACGTCTCGATATGATCTGTATCCGCTGTTGCTGCTGGTGCTTGCCACTTCGCCCTTGCCCTGGACATGCTGCTCACCCTGCTGCATTGCCGCAAGTGCCTTCTGCTTGTCTTTGAGTAGCTGACTCCTGGCCACCAATGGCACCTCACATGGTCGATCCCCTGCAAGTAACAACATTGTTGCAGTGTGTGGGACTGGCATCACATTGTTCTTCCTCATGAAATCCATCCCTAGGATCATGGGGTGGTCATCCATCTCAATGACCGACAACTCCACTTGCCCAGTCCAAGTTCCAATCGCCATGTCAGCACTCCTCACCAGACCTTGGATTGGCTTCGCCTCTGCATTCACTGGCTTAGACCAACCCTTGTCCTCCTTCATCTTCAAGCCTACCGTCAACTTCACCAAGGAAAACACCAAGGAAAAGCCTACGGATGGCATGGCTCAAGGGGTTGAGCTACATCTTGGTGAGCGGCGCAAAGAAGTTAATGACTGTGGCATGGTTCTCTCTAAAGTGGTAAACGCCAAGGCAAAGCCTGTGGATGGCTTGGCTCGAGGGGTTGAGCTGGACCTTGGTGAGTGGCGCAAAAAAGTCGATGACTTTGGCATGGGGCCAAAAGTGGAGTTATCGCGAGAGTTCAACGTGGCGATGTTGCCTCGCGACAAAAAAATGTGCATTATGGACGGGGGCCCATACATTTTGCCAACGGTGGACAAAGGAAAACCAAGAAGGCGCAAGTCAAGGAGAGAACATGCGACTTCAAAAAAGGAGACGCGACGAGGGCGTCGCGAGCATAGGTGGGGGAGAATGTCACGACCCGCCAACGTGACCAGGCCAAAGTATCCAACAAGAGGAAATCTCAAGAGAAAGAGGCTAGTGAAATGGCTTGGAAGCTCCTGGAAGACTTGAGAAAGTATGAAGGCCAGGAAGGATGCTAGAGGGTTCTGGAACTCTCTAGAATGGCTACAAGAATAAAGGCTATGGGAGCATTGCCTAGAAGACTCTAGAATAATATAGAGCTAGTATAGAGCTAGAAGACTCTAGAATAAAGGTTGTATGTATGCTCTAGAATAGGCTTTTTGAGGATGAGGGAAGGATCTAGAATCCCCTCCATCCATATAGTTCTAGAATAGTCTATTAGATATAATAGGTGGAAGATAGATCCAAGTTGTAAGCTTTCTCTCTAGTGTAATACAAAGCTAGCATTCTCCAAGTCTCTCTCTTGTGTGTGCATTCCCCTAGCTCCCTTCCACAAAAGGCTTACTTAGGTGCAAGCAAGGCGTGCTACAAGCATCTAAGGCCGCACGGTTGGCTTGGAAGGGCACTATGTCAGAAGTAATTCACACCGAGGAGAACCGCGGAAGGGAGGCTGCTGCAAACTTGGGCAAGAGGGCGAAAGACAAGTCACGGGATGTGATGAGTGCCATGGACACCCGTGTGGTCAAGATTGAATTTGCTGTGGCCGATGTCAAGGAGCGTCTTGATCGGCTGGAACAAGCGATGGGGCAACTCGATGGCAACGTGGAAAGCCAAGTCGAGGAATTGCTTGAGTCCGTGCGGGACACCATCCGGATCAACTCTGAAGCGCAGAGACAAGAAAGCTATGACTTTCAGGAACGGATCCTGAAGGCTATTTGTCAACTCCAAGACCAAGTCCAAGAGCTGAAGGAAGGCTTGGAAGAGACACGGGCGGATTGGGCCATATGCAAGCGAGCTGTGGCTAATGGCGGTGTTGCCACTAATGCGGGATTCACTCCAAGGCTGGAGGCGCCAAAGCCTAAGGAGTTTGATGGCACACGGGATGCTAAGGAGCTGGATGACTACCTTTGGCACTTAGAGAGGTATTTTGAAGCTTTAAACTTAAACGATGAGCTTGCGAAGGTACGCACCGCTTCTCTCTACCTCACTAAGTTAGCTGGAGTTTGGTGGCGTCGTAAGCACGCTGAAATGGAAAGAGGCATTTGCACTATCTCTTCATGGGAACAATTCAAGAATGAACTAGTGAGACAATTCTATCCGGAAAATGTGGCATATGAAGCACGTTTGAGGATGAGGGAGTTGAAGCACACCCACTCTATCCGGGATTATGTCCAAGAATTCTCTGGGTTAATGCTTCAAATCCCTAACATGAGTGATGATGACTTGCTCTTTAACTTCACAGCTGGGCTTAAGCAGTGGGCACAATTGGAACTACAACGAAGAGGCGTCAAGGATATCTCCACTGCACTCACCGTGGCTGAGACATTGGTGGAATACACGAAGTCGGAGGCTTCTAACTTGGAGTCCACCAAGGAGGGTCAAGGCAAAGGTGGGGGAGCCACATGCGCCAAAGAATGGAAGGATTCTAAGGCTTCAAGGTACAGAGAAGGTAGAAGCAAGTCACCAACGGGCAAAGATTGGAGGAATGAGTCAAAGAAAGAAAGCAAGCCCAAGGATAACTGCTTCATCTGCGATGGGCCACATTGGGCGCGCGATTGCCCAAAGAGGAAGAGTCTTAGTGCAATGCTGGAAAAGCAAGAAAGGGAAGAAAATGAGGAGCAGGCTTGCATGGGTTCTCTGCAGCTGCTTGGTGCCATAGAAGCGAAGCCTACTGCATCAACCCATGGGGATAAGGGTTTGATGTACGTAGAGGGCAAGATCAATGGGAAGGCGGCCCAAGTCATGGTAGACACAGGGGCTTCCCACAACTTCATCAAAGCGGAAGAGGCCAAGCGGCTTGGTCTAAGATTTGACAGGGGTCAAGCATTAATGAAGACAGTGAACGCCAAGGCAAAGCCTGTGGATGGCATGGCTCGAGGGGTCGAGCTACACCTTGGTGGATGGCGCGGGAAAGTGAACTTCTCCATAGCATCACTCGATGACTATGATGTGGTGCTAGGGATGGAGTTCTTGCGAGAGTTCAACGTGGCAATATTGCCTCGTGACAACAAAATGTGCATCATGGAGGGTGGGCCTTACATGGTGCCAATGGCGAGCAAGGAGAATACTCAACTCCAACTTCTATCTGCTATTGAGTTGGGGGCGGACAAAGACAAGGTAGAAGGCGCTACCAAAAAGATGATTAGCGGGCAAGCGGCCAAGAAGGTTCTCTCCACACCGCAAGTCAAGGGAGACTCAAAGAAGGGAGAGACTACCTACCAAGCTATCCTCCAAGGCAAAGGAGGAGCAAAGAGACTTCCACCAAGGGGAAAGGTGGATCACAAGAAGAAGAAAAAGCAAGGCGCCAAGACAACTTATCAAGCACAAAGGGCAAGTGCAACTCCCTATGGCAAGGAGGCAAGGAAAAATTTGCAAGGAAGGCGCGACGAGGGCGTCGCTGCATTAGGTGGGGGAGAATGTCACAGACAGAGAAATCCTGATGCTACCCTCACTAGAAAATGCTGGAAACTTAAGGAGATTGCTGGAACTCTCTAGAGAATGGCTAGAAGATGGGAAGCTAATAGAAGGATCAAGAATTCTCTAGAGCAATCAAGAAGATAATAAGCTCAGGGAGATTGTAGAGCATGCTGGAAGCTTCTAGAATTCCCTGGAGCATTGTAGAAACTTGTACATAGTTAGAGATAGTTGTAGACTCTTCTAGATATGTACATACTAGAATAGTCCTAGAATACTCTACCTAGGGGAAGTGTCTAGAACACTCTCCATTAGTATGGTTCTAGAACAATCTATGTAAGTCTATATAAAGGGGAGGCCCTCATTTGGCCAAACCATCCAAGTTGTAAGCTTTCTCTCTAGTGTAATACATAGCTAACATTCTCTAAACTCTCTTGTGTGTGCATTCCCTTAGCTCCCTTCCACTAAAGGCTTACTTAGGTGCAAGCAAGGCGTGCTACAAGCATCTAAGGCCGCACGGTTGGCTTGGAAAGACTGAGGGTTGGTTCAGAAATTCCAAGGCCGTGACAGTTGGTATCAGAGCCAGGTTACGAAGGCGTCGTGACTAAGGAAGGAAGGGCACTATGTCAGAAGTAATTCACACCGAGGAGAACCGCGGAAGGGAGGCTGCTGCAAACTTGGGCAAGAAGGCCAAGGACAAGTCACGTGACATCCTGAGTGCAATGGAGACCCGTGTGGTCAAGGTTGAATTTGCTGTTGCCGATGTCAAGGAGCGATTGGATCGGTTGGAACAAGGGATGGATCAACTCGATGGCAAGGTGGAATGCCAAGTCGAGGAGCTGCTTGAGTCCGTGCGGGGCACCATCCGAGGCAACCATGAGAGCCACAGGCAAGAAAGTTATGACTTCCAGGAACGGATCCTGAAGGCTATTT